CCCGATAACGATAAAGGCCTGCCACCGCCGCCATTTGTTTAGTTTGCTATTTATTCTCCATTAAAAGTGGCTTTTGCGTTGTCTTATCGGCTATCGATTCAATTGGATTCAATCGCTGCGCGATGTCTGTTTTTTTTGGCGCTCAATCATGTTTAGTGTGTTTGCCACCCTCCTGGCGTTCTCCGCCCACACATATGCGTCGGCAGTTCTTGCTAACATCGCTGCGCGCCTGAGATAAATAGAGCTCGATGACTGTTTGTACTATCGAGAAAAATGCTCGGAAATAAATCGCCGCTCGCCGCATGCAAACAAAATGGTCGAGCGAGCGAGTATTTTTTCCTTGCACTTTGAACGCAGACACCGACAATAATATCGATTTACAACACCGACAATATCGATTTCCCACGACAGTCGGGTCCATGTAACCGGAACGACCACTCCAGCATTATTCCCCATAAAAAGTTATTGGGAAATTCGTGTACAACAACAATAACAACATCGATTTACAAACACATAAATAATGTGTATTTTGTTCTTGGTTTTGGACATCAAAATGTAAAAATATGTTTATGTAAGTAAACCAATAATGGGCTTTCTTTCGAGTTATCAAGGTTACAAAAGTATATGTATATTGGGCCGTATGAATAAAAACTAATAAACTTCAAATCTTTTACTCGATTTGTTCGAATAACTTTAAGTAAAAAATATGAAATTTAAAGTAAAAACAATTGCTTAGTTTTTATTCATACGGCCCATTGAGTAAAGTCGTAAACCTATATATATACAAGCTTTTGTTGTTTGTTATGGATTTAGGTCATGGTGGAATATTATTATTACACCATGGATTTAGGTTCTTTAGCTTAATTACAAATATTTCTTTCCATAGTGAATGCACCCATTTATTGCTTTGAAAATTGATATCTGTCATCACTACTGACATGCGCGACATCTGCCGTGTAAAATCACCACGCCACTCGCAGCCAAGTTCAAGCGACGGAAGCCAACTTCCTTCTTTTCCAAAAAACCTTCCAAAGGTTGAGTTGTATTTTCGTTGCGCTCCGCAAGAAAATTGGTTAAATTCGTTGAATATGAGTGAGACTCTGCAATTGCGCGGTACCCTCGTTGGACACACTGGCTGGGTTACACAAATCGCCACCAACCCAAAGGATCCCGATACCATTATCTCTGCTTCTCGTGGTAAGTGACCATTGTATGACGTATGTAACATTTGAGGTTAAGTTTTTTTTTGCAAACTCAATCGTTTTAGATTCGATTAATCCTTTAGTTTTGGTTAAAATTTATTTCGTACTTATCCTACGTTACCTATTTACTTGCAGACAAGACCCTTATCGTATGGAAATTGACTCGCGATGAAGACACCAACTACGGTTTCCCACAAAAGCGTTTGTACGGCCATTCACACTTCGTGAGCGATGTTGTACTTTCATCTGATGGTAACTACGCTCTGTCTGGCTCATGGGACAAGACTTTGCGCTTGTGGGATTTGGCTGCTGGCAAGACTACTCGTCGTTTTGAAGATCACACCAAGGTGGGGCGAAATGTCGCAATTTTATGTCCAATCATTTGTGTAGCCTAGATTAGTCGATAGGGCTTTGTTTGCTTTGAAAACATGAATAATGCACATAAGTGCTGACAAAATTGGTTAGGAGTGTAGGTGGTGCTTGCATAGGGTACATTTCTACAAATGATTAGAGCCTGATTTGGTTAGAAGTCTAGTAGAGTAGTTTTAACAGGTGAGGCACCACCTTAAATTTATAATACGTGCCTATGCGAGGCAGAATTCTGGTTGAGTGTCGGGGAGCACCTTCTGGGAGTACGTTCACCGCAACAGCAAGGCGGTACAATTGTAAGTCGCAAGTGGTAATTTTGTTTCTTACTGGGAATGGTCAACTTATAATAAAAATATACTGAATTTTGTGTTATAAATTAACAATTTCTTCAATTCGCAGGATGTGCTGTCTGTTGCCTTCTCCGCCGACAATCGTCAAATTGTCTCTGGCTCACGCGACAAGACCATCAAGCTGTGGAACACATTGGCCGAGTGCAAGTTCACCATCCAAGAAGATGGACACACCGATTGGGTGTCATGCGTACGTTTCTCGCCCAACCACTCTAACCCCATCATTGTCTCGTGCGGTTGGGATCGCACCGTTAAGGTCTGGAATTTGGCCAACTGCAAGTTGAAGAACAATCACCATGGACACAATGGTTACTTGAATACCGTGACTGTTTCACCTGATGGTTCATTGTGCACTTCTGGTGGCAAGGACTCCAAGGCTTTGTTGTGGGATCTGAATGATGGCAAGAACTTGTACACCTTAGAGCACAACGATATCATCAATGCATTGTGCTTCTCGCCCAACCGCTACTGGTTGTGCGTTGCATACGGTCCATCAATCAAAATCTGGGATTTGGCATGCAAGAAGACCGTTGAGGAGCTCCGCCCCGAAGTTGTGTCGACCAGCTCAAAGGCCGATCCACCACAATGCTTGTCGTTGGCCTGGTCCACCGATGGTCAGACCTTGTTCGCTGGCTACTCTGACAAGACCATTCGCGTATGGCAAGTCTCTGTCTCTGCTCACTAAGTTGATGGCAGTTACGTACGCTTAAATGCAGGAGCATTTTTGTTTTTAATTACAAGTTTTTATACGTTTTGATGACAAAAAGTAAGTTGCCCATACTGCTGGGCATTCAATCCTATATGTATGTAAAAATGTATGCGAAGAGAAAAATGTGTACTGTATTTAAAATGTTAATTCATTGAGCGCTGATTTGTTTATTATATAAACAAATAAATAACAAGAATGTCAAAAAAACCCAAAAAAAAGAAAACAATTTTTGTATTAATTTAGCTGTATTTAACGTGTAAGACTTTAAATCGTAAATATATAAGTAGGGGATTTTAATTTATACACCAACTTGACGTGTTTTCTCTTCACAAATGTAGGAGATTATGCAAAGGCGAATATTTTGCCAGGTGGCAAAATTGTTGGTGTTATAGCACGTTGCTTTTCTACTTCGGTAAAATTTCTTTTTCTGCTTTGGCACCTTTTTTTATTGTTGCTTTGGTATACCCTCAAAACGTATGTNTCACAAATGTAGGAGATTATGCAAAGGCGAATATTTTGCCAGGTGGCAAATTTGTTGGTGTTATAGCACGTTGCTTTTCTACTTCGTTAAAATTTCTTTTTCTGCTTTGGCACCTTTTTTTATTGTTGCTTTGGTATACCCTCAAAACGTATGTATGTGTGTTGCTTTCGTTAAAATGGCTACTTTGATGCATATTTTTTGGCGCAATTTACATGCCAAATGTGGCGCACACGCTTGCTGCTTTTTTATGCGCGCCTGGTAAAATTCGTGAAGTCGGTATCCGCTGATCAACTTCGACATTGTTTGGGCAGCTCTTATGAGTGTTTGCGCAAACTTTTTGCTAATACCAAGCGATTTTGATTTTATGACTGCCGTCTCCTCCGTTACGAGTTTGCGCAGTTTCTAGGCGAGTTTGCGCAAACTTTTTGCAAATACCACTCGATTTTATTTTTTGCAGCAAAAGCTGATTTTCTAATTCAGAAAAATAACTCGGAAATGTGCTTTTCGCCTTTTAATAGAATGAAACTCGTCGGAATTTAAGTATATTTTAATATTTAATATATTTTCGTTAAACTTCCGTGTATGTATGTATTTACTAAAATTTAAAAATTTTTATAAATAATTCGTAATTAAAATACATATTAAAATATCAGGACTTGTTTATGCATATTTTGATATTTTGCTAGATATTTTCTTGAAACAAATATGAATAGGAAGAATAGCGGATAGCAGCAATTCAAATCCTTAATAATTTAATTTAAATTAACCTAAAACTAAAAAGTTGATACGTCATGCCTATAACAGTATCCGACGGATGTCATTCTCCCGGATCTAACACCTTCACACTCGCTTGTTATGACAGTGTGAATCGGATTAGATCCGTGCGGGGATGGCTTCCGTCGGCTACCGCAATAGGCATGTACATATATAAAATTGTACACAAGAGACATAATTTATTTAAACAGTAATGTACAAAACATTTAAGAAATGTCAGAAATTAAAATTTTATACAATTTGCGATTTTTACAATATTAAGAGGAATCAAAAAGTGGTGATCGATATTAGCAAAAGGCGCTAAGTGAAATTTTTTCTTGATACAATTTGGATTTTCTAAAGAAGACACATGACATAAGCACATACATATTTTTGGAATTGGTATCTTTGCCTAGTAAAAGCCATACTCCAGTTTGGTAAATTTTTAGGAGCAACATTTTCGCGTTTTGGAAAATAAAGAGTTGGAAATCAAAACGAAAAGTTTTGTAATGAAATTATATTTGAAAAATTCCAGCGATGCTAATTTTGTTTCATATTAGCCGTCATCGATTCGCCAACAGTTAGCGAGTGGCGAAACGAACGAACTCAATGAGGTACAACCAAACTCGCTATCGTATATCCGTGCTAGCTAACTTTGTTGTTGCCTTCACATGAAAAATTCTTGTTTAAGCGACCGGAACTCAAACATAGCGAGCGAGAAGTGGCGAATCGATGATGGCTAGTGTTTGAATTCCGTGCATTTTGCAAAATGCTACAAAATTTTGTTGGAAAAGTTTTATTTTTTAGTGCAATACGGGATCTTTGGATTTTCCCTTAGTCCGGTACAAAACGCTGGGAAAGTAAATTGTCTTTTCAGCATCCATACATAAATAGTTTTGCCTTCTCAGTAGAAGCAACAAGCCTAGGGCTATCACTTCAGCAATATTTCTCAAAACTGTTTGGGGAACTTTTATGGTGTTACTACAACCGTTAGGATCAGCATTGCTGTCAGACAAACACGCGGATATTCCAAGATTATTTATTAAAACGTTCAAATAATTTCCTTCGATGGCTGGTTGAGCAACTAGAAACGCGCAGTTTTTCATTTATTTTCTGGGTTTGGGTTTTTGGGTGTATCTTGGTGTAAGCGATAGAATAAGTATACTTCGAACAGCTTGTAATAATTTTGATACATTTTAGTCTTTAAAATGGGCAAAAAAAAAAGAGGTGTACTCCAAAAAGTGAGGGAGCTATTTGTGTAGTGTCATCAGAACGCGAAACTGTAAATGTTGACTAACGCAAAAAATGTTTGCTTGCTCCAAAAAAAGGCATCCCAGTCAGAAAGCCCAGACCCAAAGCACACTTCGTGAAATGTTACCTTTCGGATCAAAATATGGACAGGTAGCACGCACGTCGCAAAGCTCAGGGGGGGAAAAATTCGCGAAATAATGGTTAATTGTTTCAATTGGTGCTGCAAAGGTCAGATTATTTAGGCTGGCCAACTTGAAAAATGGCTAAGGAGGACAAATAATTTTTAAGGAAGACACAAAATTAGTTTGATTTCTCGAAAAAATGAGGGAAACATGCCTTTTATGCATTTTAATAGATTCATTGATTGAAAAAAATATATATATTAATAAGCCATTCCATGAATGGGACAAAAGCATGTCAATGAAGTGAAAAAAGCAGACATAGGTACATAAATGTATATCAATTTATAGGCAATTTAGACCATTTAATTTTTAAATGAGTACACACAACGGACCAATGGACCAATACAAGGCGAAATTATATCTAAGCAGTTCAAAGATATGAGAGCTGCAATTATTTTATAATCATTATGGCTTAACGCTAGAGGTCGTGCATAAAATTTCATCGTAAACATTTCAAAATTCAATGGGTTAAGCTCAGATTAAATTTTTAGTGCGAGTGAAGTAAGTTTAAGCAACACACTGAACCGAAAACTGAGTCGTCGTAGCTTAACACATTCACAGCTGAGTTAAAAGATCCACGATATTTGTAAGCTTTTTTCTTGTTTTTTCTTTTTTTAAAGCCCAATTAATGCATTTCATACAAATAACCCGATTTTTTTCCTAAAAAGACTAAAAAATTCACTTAGTACCTTTTGCAGTGTCGACCGACGAAAGGTGCTTTTCCATAAAACTTAAAAATTTCACTTAGTGCCTTTTTGTTGTGTTAGACGACAAAAAGTACTTTTACACATCGAAAAATATCAAAATTTCCAAGCGCACTTTTTGCTTCGTTGCTGTTACGCAAGTAAAAAGTCATATGGTATGCGATTTTTATAATATGTGTACATCGACTTAAATTTATATAAGCATACTGCAAAATTGTATGCATTTTTTTTTCGATAAATTTGCTTTGATTTAGAATGAAATGCTTAGCAGCTAATAAGAGGGCACATAAATAGTTTTTAAATACGTATTTTTCCCCTTTTTCAAATTGTTTGTTCTTGTTTCGTTTTAGAAAATTTACTAATGCTGGGGGCACTTGGCGACGGCGAGACTCAAATCAATCCTTTTGATGACGCTCATCAGATAGTACATGCAAACATAAGCACATTTGTGTATGTATACATATGTACGCCCATATGCATATACATACATACATACATATTTGTATGCACATACGCAGTTGACCAAAATTTATTTCGTACCAACGCCACTATTCGAGCGAATTAAATTTGTCACGGGAAATTTCGCAGCATTATTGGCTGTGGGAAATTTATTCGTTGCAGTCGCATTATTTGCGGTTTTCGATGCAGATGCACTGCTACCGTCGCCGTTACCGTTAGTAGATGTGGTGGCCGAGCTAATGCGATAATTACCATTGCGAAAAACTACCAACAACACAGTAATATTATCCACTGAGCCACGCTGATACGATTCCATGGTTAACGCTTTGGCGCCATAGTCAGCTTCATGCAAATGCTTTTTGATAAAAGTGCAAGCCTCCTCATTATTGAAGGTGTCCCATAGGCCATCTGAGGCGAGTATGAGAAATGCGGGTCTGCAAGAAAAATGGAAGTTAGTGATATCTTCGCTTATCCCAATTGAAAAACTCATATGCACACTGACTTGTGATCGTTCAATTCAAAAGTTAGTATATCTGGATTAGCTATGACTAGATTCTTGTCCTTCAATGGATAATCGCCAAGCGCACGCGATGTTGCCAATATACCGGCTACACGCCAAACGCCGCGAAATGCTATAAAGCCGCCAGCATCATGAATGCGTTTGCGTTCACGCACCTATTAATTTTAGAGAGATAAATTTATAAAGCAGACAAAATTAAATTAATAACAAGCATTNTGCTATAAAGCCGCCAGCATCATGAATGCGTTTGCGTTCACGCACCTATTTATTTAAGAGAGAGAAAATTTATAAAACAGACAGCAATTTTTAAAATTAAATTAATAACAAGCATTTATGTAATTTGTTTTAATTACCTGCTGCGGCTTGTGATCGAATGACAACGGTATTGCTATGCCACGCGCATCACACATAACGCCACGTGAATCGCCCACATTAGCCACGGTCAGTTTGGTGCCTTCAATGACGGCAATTAGCGCTGTAGTGCCGGCTATGTTGGTCTGCATAAGATAAGGTAAAAGACAATTACTTACATTGCTGCTGTTAACTTGAGGCATTTCGCCAACAACTTACTGTCTTTTTGGCTGCCTCAACCAATTTATAATCGGCTGCGAGCACTTCGTCTGTAATTAATTTGCCGTAATTAATTTTGCCATTCTCTATGTAACACTTGGCGTCGAAATTTTGTGGTGGTCCATTCTTTTTGCCACCATCGCTGCCAGCATCTTTGCCACTGCCGCCACCGAAGAGGGCATCCTTCGCCGCATTGCTGCCGCGCATTAGAGAATTTAATTTGGAAGTAAATACATCGGTGTCCTTTGGTTTTTTACCACCCGATGAGGCCTTGCAATCGTCTGCGGTGCTGTTGTGAAAAAGTAAATAAACAAAAAATACGAATTTAATAGGTGGAAAAATAAAACTTGAATAGACCAAAAAAGAAGTTGTTGCAAACTGTTGATAAAGTATACGCTAGGGTACATTAAATGATAAAATTTTTTGTGCCGCCACTACATTTGTTAAAGTCCTCTGTTGCTGTTGTGCCTGCACTTTGTCTCCAGACAGTCTGATACTTATTGTTGTGCTACGGCATAGATCTATGACTGCGTTTTCAAGCGTCCATCCAATCACTTTAAGAAGGCGGCGAAGCCAGGGGGGATAGATTCCCTTTTCTTCGTCAATATACTCCTAATTTTTACTTTTGATTTATTAAATCAATACCCGTTTATTCTCCTGATTTATAATTTTTTTAATTCAGACTAATGACAAAATACATTTTTATAAATATTGAAGATTTGTTGTATTGTGCATTTGAATATTGAGCATGTGCCAAATAGCCTTTGCAAGAACGTCTGAAAAGACCAATGACCTTTTCGGACGATTCAAAAAAAAAAATATATATATTTCTACGAACTGATAACCTCCTCCTATTTTGAAGTCGGTTAAAAATATGAGAGAAATTTAACTTGTGCATATCAGACCGAAGTAATACCGCAATTTTCTCGGTCTGAAATTCTTCTTCTTCTTTTTTTGGCGCTGTAACCGCCTAAGCGATTTTGGCCGAGTTCAGCAAAGCACGCCAGTCGTTTCTCCTCTGTGCCAACTGACGCCAATTGGAAACACCAAGTGAAGCCAAGTCCTTCTCCACCTGATCTTTCCATCGCAGTGGGGGCCTCCCTCTTCCTCTGCTACCACCAGCGGGTTCCGAGTTGAATACTTTCAGAGCTGGAGCGTCGGTGTCCATTCGAACGACATGACCAAGCCAGCGGAGCCGCTGTATTTTAATTCGCTGCACTATGTCCATATCGTTGTAAAGCTCATACAGCTCATCGTTCCATCGTCTGCGGTACTCGCCGTCGCCAACGCGTAAAGGACCGTAAATCTTCCGCAAAATCTTTCTCTCAAACACCCCAAGAGCCGCCTCATCGGATGTTGTCATTGTCCATGCTTCTGCGCCATATACCAGCACGGGCATGATGAGTGACTTATAGAGCGTGGTTTTCGTACGTCGAGAGAGGACTTTACTCCTGAATTGCCTACTCAGTCCAATTCTGTCTGTCAATTCAGTCTGAAATTGCTGAGGAAAAATTCTACACCCTTCCCTCTCCCGCCCCGTATTCAGACGGTCTGAAAATACTAGTGTGTGAACTCAGAAAACTCAACCAAGTTTGATAAGAGTTTTACGCGATGTAGGCAGGGTTTTGCCGATTATGACAAGTAAAAGTAAACAAGGCCTCAGAATGTAAATGTCTCTGTTCAAGGTGACGCACGGCGATGGCAGAGCTCAAATTTCATTCAGTGACATCGCGATTCACCAGTGGCACCGGTTCGGAAGAAAAATGGTATCTGCACTACATCGACTAGGGCAAAACGAAAGTTAAAGCTCGAATCCACGCTGGCGAGAGGTGGTGGAAGAGAGAGGGAGGATAGAGCCAGGAGAAAGCGAACCGCACCCGCCGAAGAGAGGGCGCAACCAGAGAAGAAAATTTTAACCCGCGCCTGCTGAGAAGCGGGAAGTCACGGAACCTGAGTCTCCAATTCACAAGCGCCTTTTTGTAGGGGCAAGCAATCTGACCTAGGGCACAATCTGACCTTAGGCACAGGGCAGAGGTGTTAAAGAATGCAATAAGTTTTAACTAAATTATTCATTTGATTGAAGTCCCGAGTGATTGCAATCATTTTCTGTTAGTCCTGACTAAGACTAAAAAAAAATAGTCTTTATTATTTTATTTATGATTCATGAATCACTTTTTTATTCATTTCTTGTTAGTCACTTGATTTGATGTTTTGAAATTGTTGGAAACGATATCAAAAATGAGTTTTTGTCGCATATGGTAGACAAATGTACAAAAATTACTATGCTTAACCGGTGCCCGATTATTAAAAGCGGCCGCGGTAGAAAGACTTTTTTCGTTTGCTTCATTACTGAATACCCCACGCCGTGGAACCTTTTCTGACAACAATTTTGAAAAATTGCTGTTGCTGAAAGTTAACGGCTAAGTTAAATAAGTTTCAAGGATCATTGTTAATTTTTTGGAAACTTGTTCTCATGCATTTTGTTTTTTTTTTTTTTAATTTACATAATATGTACAGATTATGTATATATAATAAATACAAATTTATTTCATTGGAAGTTACTGGAATTCATTTTCTAAAGATTTTATATACTACTGGAGTTTTAATAAAGCTTTTTGTGTACTCATTTATTTTCTAAACAAATTTGTATTATAATTCTATGAAGAAGTGTACGCAAGATTGCTTTAGATTTTCATTATTCACCTCAGACTGCAAAAATGACTAATTAGTCATGAAAGTCTAATGACTTCAACGAAAAGACGAATGACTTCAACTTTGCAGTCTTTAGTCAAACATGTGATTGATTGGCTGCAGTTAAAAAGTGTTACGTCAGTGAATGTGACTACAACTATTTAAAGTCACGCAGGCTGCATTCTTTAACACCTCTGGCGCAGGGTAGAGTTTAAAAAAAGTTGTTTCTCGAGAAAAAACGCACTCCTACTTTCACTTCTAACTGCTGTAACTTCTGAAGTACTTTGGTTTTCGGAATGGGGAATCTGTTCAAATATTCTTAAGAGTATGTAGAATTTTTTTTTATCGAAAGAAAAGTTTTCGATTTTTTATTTTTTTTTAGGGCGGTGTAATTTCTCAATGTATTGAAATAAAAACGGCCGCGACTCCTTTTGGGTACTTTTCTTTTCGTAAACCCTTAAAGGACCCCTTACATTACTTTTTGGTAAAGGAATGAAGATCCTACGCTGCCCCACTCATTAGTTGTACCTTTTTGAAAAACAAAATTTATTGAAAAATAAGCCATGTTACTTACTAAGTAATGTTAATTTAGCAAACAAATTTTATTATTTTATTTTGCTCTGCCGTTATTATTGAAAATACTAATAGGAATGAATAGGAATAGCTCGAGTCCCGTTAATTTATCACAGTTTTCAAAAGTGGGGTTTTCGCGTAAAACATGGGCTCTCCGAACTTTGTCTTGCATAGAAGAATGTTTTGAGCTGCAATTTGCAAAGGGAATATATTTTCATTAAAAAAAATGATTCGGAAAGTAGTGTCCGGTGTAGTAGCATTGAAAAAAAAAAATGAATTTAACAGCCATATTTTATATCTCGAACGACAGGAACGGAATTTTTTAGCAGCTTGAAATTTGTACTTCATTATACTAGAATTAAATAGGCTACAAAACTGCATACGACAATTTTTTCTAATGAATCTGATTTAAACGTTTGAAACTTGGGTAAAAATTTGCGAAATTTTTATAATTCTTGTACAAAGTTTGAAATCTGAATTCATATGGTATTTGTTGAATAACCAGTTAGACTTTTATAAAAAAATAATAAACAGTAAATAAACAAAATACAAATAGCCAAAACTGATAAAATAAATAGGAAATAATTCTACAAAAAAAACCCGTATTTACAGTATGATATGGTTCATAATTAGGCCGTACTACATATACTACTTGAATGGAAAGTAATATCAATACAGAAAATTTAGTCATTAGGTGACGCGGGTGAACCTTTCATAAAAGCTTGTCTTAAAAAATATTTTTTTTTTTAATTAGGTCCTTGTGTTTACACATAAGTTGATTTGATTTATTTTTAAAATAATTGAGTGACTTAAAAATCAAAGTGTAAGTAAATAAATAAATAACTAAAAAAAAAACACAATAAAATACATGCATGCAGTAAATATTATGCTTAAATTAGCTCTTTGTTTTCCAAATAGCCAAGAAGACAAGGAACAAAGGGGAAGCAGCGAACGTACATATGTAGGTACTGAAAATATTTCGCGGCGTATTCTCTGTATACAAAACAAAAACATAATTCAGCTGCGTCACTCGCAATACTAACGGATATTTGCATATATATTAATGTATGTATGTATGTACATACTTTATTTTCATTGTTATAGTCGAAAGAACAGTCGGTCAGTTAGTCGAATCGCCTAAATGTGCCTTGGACCGAGGAGGTCGTGATGCTTACAATTGTTCTCTGAAATGTCTCGCTTTTCAATTTCCATCACGCGCGCGTCAATTGTTATGCACTTTTTTTTTGGAAAATTGTTTATTGTATTCTATGTACTATGTATGTTTTAGTCTTCTTTCTGGCACATCTTGAGATTGTTTGTTTTTTTATGCCAAAAAAAAAACAATGTGTGCTGCCCTGATTTATTATTATGTATTTCTTTTGACCATTCAATTTGATGTGTTTACTTGTTTTGTTGCATTCAACCGCACATCTGCATTTTCCTGTCGCTTTGAAAAGTCTTCGTTAACTTTTTTTCTTTTGCAAAAACAATTAAAAGTAAATTTATTGAAAGTAATGATGGCACCAAGGACCGACGAATTAAAATGTGTCAATTTGCAGAGGATGAATTTAACTTTATTTATGCATGTATTACGTATGTATATATAGAAATGTATGTACATATATATATATAGGCCTGTTCTTTTCTTCACAAATTTCATCAAATCGATTTCGTTCCGAAAGCGTACAATTCAGCTTTTGATGTTCGGGCGAACGTGCTGTACTAAATTTCAATTCATTAATACGGTAGTACGGGGGCGGAATGAAATCAGCTTAGGATGAAAGACCGAGACCCATATAGTAAAACCACCAAATATCTTTGCATTCTCAGAATTATTATTATTATTTTTTTCATATTAAGTTTGCAATTTTTTGCGCGGCTTCTTATAGGGTGAGAGCAAAAGAGGGCTAAAATTCATGTCGGAGAGAAATTTGTAGTTAGCTCTCTCACGAAAAGGTCGTTTTGACCACTTTATTAGAAATTCTGAATAAAATGGCATTTGGGAGGTCACCAAAGGGTTAAAGAAAATTATTCCACAAAAAATTTCACCAGGGGTATTTTCAGAAAAAAATATTCATACAAAGAACGTGAAAGACCGCAGAAAATAAGAAAAATATATGCTTCACATTTTCATGGTAAAATTGTCCATCGTCCTAACTTAAAAATTTTTTTTTACAAAGTTTATCAACTGAAAGGAATGAATAAAATTAAAGAATTTTCGAAAAAGCTTGAGTATTTCCTTATCTTTCGAACTTAAATGCTTGAATCTCAAAAAGTACTATTCCGATGGACGAAAAAAATATATATCAAGGCAATAAGGCTAAATATATAGAAGGTTGGTTGCATTCGCTTTTCTGTATTTTTTTTTTTATAACCCAAAACAGCTTATTTAGGAAAGTAAATCAGATGAGCTTTATTTTCATGCTTAGCGCCCCCGAATAAGTCTAAAAGTCTTTTTTCCGTGTAAACTAGTGTATTTAATGAATTCGTAATGTATTTACTTTTTATGTTTTTCTTCAGGTTTATTAATGGAAAAAAAGCTCTTCCTGCAAATCGTGAATATCGTGGAGCATCTGGAACGCAACTAGTATCTCATACGTTTTGACAGATAACAGCCTCAAGAAAAGTGTAGTACTATTTAAAGATAAGGTAGTTTACAATGACATCTAAATACTCAGACAGTGAAAAATTTCTTCTTACCAAAATAATTAAAACTATGCAAGCAAGTATGGAAGAGCTTAATTTAAAACTGCTCGAAGCAAAGTCTTTAATGGAAAACTATTTCGCATGAAAAAAATTTAATTTCAAAATTGTTAGAGTTAAGCTCACATAAAAAATTGGAAACAAATGTAAAATACTACTTTTATAAGTGTCGAATAATGTTTAGGATAAAATATTTAAATATAAAAATAAACGCACAAAAGCATAGAGAACCTGGGCAATTAAAAACAAGTAAATTGCTAAAACTATTTTATAAACAATTTGTTTTATTTTATTGACAAAATATATATATATATTCCAGGTAATGTAAGTAAAACAAAACTATAATCGAAATAAAAGCCTAGGGCATCAGTGCTGACAAAAGATACATGCAAAACTAAGGGTTAATTCGTTTGTTTATACTTTTTGACATAATAGTACCTTAAAAGAGAGCCGCACTGAATTGTCAATCACTCTTGTTTAATACACCTTGGTTATAGTTCAGAAATTTTCGTCCATGTGGTTGTTGTTGCGTTTCTCTCACAAAGATAGAAATATAACAACAACCACACGGAAGAAAAAGCTCAGAACTAGAACGATGTGTAATACTGTGTTTTTGTTTATTCATGCTCAACTTGTCACACCCGTCACAAAGTCAAGTCACAACTGTCACAGTTTAATTTAAGACATATTCTATAATTTCCAACAGAGGTAAGCAACTTCGGCGTAAATGTTGACTATATAACGAACTATTTAATAAGCTTTGCCCACTCGTCACACCAGTCACAGCGAATAAAATTCATATAACTCGTTTGGATTAAATTGTTTTTGAAACATTTTTTCTAGGCATTGTATCTATATTCCACGGAAACCTAAATTAAAAATAATTTTTAAGAATCAAGCCTTAAAATGTAAGTTGAAATGTCATATCCGTCACCGTGGAATGAGCCATATATTTGGGACTTTGACTTTGCTGGGGTTACCAGCAGTGTCACAATTTTGTCGCAAGAAATTTTTCATTCAAAAGTAAGCAGGTGTATTTCGTGATTTTTATTTTGTAGCACCGTTTAATTCATTCATAAAAATATAAATTATTTACGACATATTTTAACCATTAATTTCAATACTCGTACGCCTGATTTAAAGAACTTGCTTTAAACGTTTGGAAAAAATTTTCAGGGTCGAGTTCGTTTGATATTTCGTCCCATATTTTTGTTAAATCCTTTTTGAAATTATCCAAACTCTCCAACCGGATGGTTTTAAGTATAAGGCAGATTGGGACCATTCCTCCACTGGCATAAAGTCTGGCAAAAAAATTTTCTATTCACCGACTTTTCGGATTTCTCGCTTTACTTGTCGGGGAAAGAATCCTGTCGAAAACCGAATGCTCCATTTCCAAACATTTGCACCGGAACCATTTAATACTTTTCTTAGCTCTGGAAATATAGGATATTTGAGCTACGTACTTGTCATCGTCTTTGGGATTATCAAATGGCTGTAACTGTAAAAGAATCTCATCGGAATGGATAATATCTGTTTCTGCATGCCTTTGTGTTTTCAAAAAGTTTCCAATTAGTGAACGAAGTAACCGTAAACGTTTAGTTATGTGGCTACGTATGTATGCATTGCTGAAGAAATAACCCTGCAGTAAAATTTAGAGACAGTCTGTTAAAGCGCCAGTTCCGTCCTACACATTTCAGAACTATCTCTGAACTAATGGAAAACGGCTACAGAGAGAGACAGTCGAAACTTTCGGTGGTTGAAAATAGCACAGCGGGAAGACCTCTGACTCTAACATCGTTGGTCGCGAGTTCAAATCGCGGTCGAGGCAGTTATGATTTTGAGATTTAATAAATTTAAATTGTTGAGTTAGGGCGTGTGTGAATTGGTAACAAAGTTCTATGGGAAAGCTGTTGAATAATATTTTTACTATGGTGAGACAGTTTTGCCAATCTGCTGTGTGAAATTAAATATTTTTTGATAGCAGTAAATTTTTGATAACCGCAGATTTATATGGAATAAAATATTACAAATTGAAGTGAAATGAATATTTTAAGAAAACATCTACCATCGTTGACTGCAATTCATCTATTTAAGCTTTTATTTAACGAAAAATTACACACATCAACAATCTTTGCGATTGTCAAAATTTTCTATGCATTTGTCAAAAATTTCACTAGCCTCATGAGCTACTGAAATTTTATTCACCTAATTGTTGTCAAAAGTTTACTCGACGCGAACTTTGTTACCTATTCACACACGCTCTTACGCTTACAAATTGAAGAGAAAGTGATCAAATTTAATATAAATAAAATAAAAAAAAATAAATAAAAATTTAATAAAATGCTATCAGTAAAAGAACAGAAAAACAAAAAAATATATAAAAGTCGAATAATTAGTTTTTTTTAAATAAAAAAATAAGTATTGTCGCAGATCTGGCCAAAATGGATTCCATTCAGAAAAGCAAACTAATCCAATAATAGTTTTAAATTTTTTTTCTCATAAAAAAACTTACTGTTCCAGAACTGTCCAAAATGGTTGTGCAATGGGGCAAATGGGGGGCAATTTCCACTTTGTAGGATATCACCATATAAAAAGCGACAGTTGAAAGCATTGCGTTGGGATAGATCGAGAACCAGTACCGCCTCTTAAAGAGCTAATTCTGCGCTAGTCCTGAACTAGCGCGATTTACTGCAGGGAATCTAGGTTGCTTAGGTGCGATGGTTATTATTTTACACGCTGTAGGTATATACACATACATATACATGTATACACATGAGAATCGGACTGCTAGTTTATTGTCAATTTAGGTTGTGGCTTTTGGGGTCAGACTCATTGATACTCGTATTAGTAAATATGCAATTAGCAAAAAGTTCTGAATAGTGAAATATGTATAACACTGTGTGACAAAAAAAAATAAATTAAAAACACACGTTACAATCAATATCCATACTCATATAATGAAACTATGGACCAAATATAATAAAACTGCATTTTCAATTTTTCCCTCTGACATCTAAAAAATTTAGTGCAATAATAATAAGAATAACAATATGGGTACCAAATCAAAAATTCTTTTGAACTTAAAAAGATTACAGTTTTTTGTTTACAAGGACGAACAAGTATTGAAAGTGCACTATTTATTAATTTTATTTTTTTAAGCTTATAAAGTTAGAAGGACGGAACTAGAGGATGTGGTCATGTGTACATATGTATATTAGTTCTTAAGAAATAATTTTTTCAAAAATAAATATTGAAAATTTTTAAGGATATTGAAGGACAAAATTTTAAAAGAACATTGTCCATACTTAAAAATTACAATTTTTTTAATTCTTCAGAATTTTCTCTTTTATTTGTTACCAACATTGTAGTTGAATATAGCACTAATTTTTTTAAATATATATATTTTATGAATTAATCATATTTTTGAAATTTCAAAGTCCTTTTAAAAAATCCTGACGCAAGAGAAAAACTAAATTTTTCTATATTTTGCCCACAGCTTCGTGAGTATATTCATTTTAGTGTGTGTAAAATTTACTGCCGCACGGTGTAAACAAGAGAATTGACCAAAAAAATAATACATACATATTTACCATGACATGTGGTCACTACCATAGCAAATTGCATTAATATTTACAGTCAGTAGCTAATTACCTGCAACTTTAATGGCTTTAACCACAAAAACTCACACACATACATACAAGCAAATGTATCCCCCCGGCCCGTCAAATAAGAGAATACAAAAAAAAAAAAAAAACAACAACTCACCTGTGTGCCTTGCGCAAACTGTCACGGCGTCGTACCGACGGTTCGTTGTTCTCCTTATTGCTATCATCTTTGCGGCTCGCCCTCCTCTTTAGATATGGACTCGCGTCATAATCTACGTAATCGGCATCGGTTGCTGCATTGTTGTTGTTGGAGGAGAGGTGTTGCTGATTTCCGAGCAATTTTGTTGTTGCAATAATTTTATTATAAATATTTTTGACTAAAATATCTTTGGCAAAATCCACAGCGAATTCACCGCCATGTCCATCGAAAATGGCAAACAATGAGATACCTGTATCATTATTGATATTCTCTTCGATAATGTATCTGAAAAGGTGGGTGGCGAAAAATGGAACAAAATATTAGAAAAAGCTACAACAACAACAACAAAGTATTTGNAAAATATCTTTGGCAAAATCCACAGCGAATTCACCGCCATGTCCATCGAAGATGGCAAACAATGAGATACCTGTATTATTATTGATATTCTCTTCGATAATGTATCTGAAAAGGTGGGTGGCGAAAAATGGAACGAAATATTAGAAAAAGCTACAACAACAACAAAGTACATATTNTCGAAAATGGCAAACAATGAGATACCTGTATCATTATTGATATTCTCTTCGATAATGTATCTGAAAAGGTGGGTGGCGAAAAATGGAACAAAATATTAGAAAAAGCTACAACAACAACAACAAAGTATATTTGTGTGTGTGGAAAAAACAAGTGGTCAACCACCGTTTGATGACGAAAATGGAAAAAAGAAAAGTGTGTGTGTTTTTAATCTAAATGAAGTGCGGTGGTGGTGGGTGTTGATTGCGAGTGTAAATTGTATGTACATACTACTATTTTTGTATGGATATTTATCAACTTATTTACATAGGTATTCGAGTGCAATCATACATATGCACCTGCGCTTAAATTTTTTTTTATATATCTGCACANTCAAACTACTCATTTATGCCGTACTACAAAAACAAAAGTGTAAATGTGTGAGAATTTTTGCCTAAAGTGCTCAGCAATGTCTTGTAGGGTTCATTCCTAGATATGCAGCTAGTATTTTACTACATACATATGTACATATGTAAGTACAGGTAAATAAAATGGTGTTACGGAATGGGTGAGTTAATTTCGATATGAATGAAAGGATGGGCCGCAATAAAATTAAAACGCGGCGCTTACGCCCAACCATATGAGTATTCATACTTTTTTGTTTGTTTTGTGGTCTGTTTTTTTTTTTTTTTTGGTTTACCAAGCAAAGCAATTAGCTAATGGAATATTTGCTTCCAAATTAATGTCCCTGCATACATACATACATATGTATGTACATAAATATAGCAATCAAATAGTCATGTGGTTTGCTGCGTTGTTAAATGATAAAATCGAAATTATAACTGCAGTAAAACATTAAAGCATCATTACTCACATGAGAAGGCATCAGACATACATNAAAACAAGTGGTCAACCACCGTTTGATGACGAAAATGGAAAAAAGAAAAGTGTGTGTGTTTTTAATCTAAATGAAGTGCGGTGGTGGTGGGTGTTGATTGCGAGTGTAAATTGTATGTACATACTACGATTTTTGTATGGATATGTATCAACTTATTTACATAGGTATTCGTGTGCAATCATACATATGCACCTGCGCTTAAATTTTTTTTATATATTTGCACATTCCCTACAAGACAGCTGAGTATCATATGAGTACTCATATTATCATTATCCCTAATCACAAAAGTGCTTATCAAAGTCCTCATTTTCGTTCAGGCCATGGGAAAAAATTGAGTACTTTCCCCTCAATGTTGTCATCAGAAAGTCCTCAGTACTAATAGTCAAACTACTCATTTATGCCGTACTACAAAAACAAAAGTGTAAATGTGTGAGAATTTTTGCCTAAAGTGCTCAGCAATGTCTTGTAGGGTTCATTCCTAGATATGCAGCTAGTATTTTACTACATACATATGTACATATGTAAGTACAGGTAAATAAAATGGTGTTACGGAATGGGTGAGTTAATTTCGATATGAATGAAAGGATGGGCCGCAATAAAATTAAAACGCGGCGCTTACGCCCAACCATATGAGTATTCATACTTTTTTGTTTGTTTTGTGGTCTGTTTTTTTTTTTTTTTTGGTTTACCAAGCAAAGCAATTAGCTAATGGAATATTTGCTTCCAAATTAATGTCCCTGCATACATACATACATATGTATGTACATAAATATAGCAATCAAATAGTCATGTGGTTTGCTGCGTTGTTAAATGCTAAAATCGAAATTATAACTGCAGTAAAACATTAAAGCATCATTACTCACATGAGAAGGCATCAGACATACATATCTGTGTTCGTATGGAAAAGTAGCTTATGTCGAAAGGCTGGCTTTAGTATAAATCGGCATTCGCAGCATACGATGGCGAACGACTCACTGGCGCTAAGCCGTTGAACAACTTTTGGCGAATAAACGTGCAAGAAATAGTTCCGATACTAGCAAGTCAATATTCTTATTAAGTCTCATAAAAAAATTCCTTGTCGTTTAAAGAATAAAGGGAATGCCGCATTATACTAAAGCCAGCCTTTCGACATAAGCTACTTTTCCATACGAACACAGATATGTAAGTGGGTAAGGAAAGGTTTGAGAAAATCAGGCCGGCTTTTGGCGTGGAGATTTATGGTTTTGATAACAACGCGAAAATATGTATGTAATTGGAAAAAAATCGATAAATGTATCCAAATGAATATTGAAAAATTAATTGATAGATATTTCAATAAGGATATCGATAAATATGTCGGCTAATAAATCGATAATTGCACGAATGTGGATATCGATAAATAGAATGATAGTTAAATCGAACAGAAATATCGTCATGAAGCCAACTCTCCAACATTTGGTAGACAAATTTTGTGATTCAACACTGTAAAAGATTTTTTGTGGGCCTAACACTAGAACAACACTTGCAAAATGTGGACATTTATTGCGAAAACCATCGACATAATCATTCATCTGATCGACTAATTCGGCATACCAAGGTCATTCTCACGACAGCCGGTTATACGTACCGGAATGACTCGGGGATTACCCGACCAAGGGATATTGTTTCTGCGATCTAACCCCGTATAGGTCGGCGAAATCTCTCAAACGTTGTTCGCAACTGGGGCTACATCTGTTCCATATTCTTATGCTCAGGGCTGGCATAGTGCCTAACCCAGGACCAGAAATAAAGACCTGCCGAGTCACAGTTTTTGAACTGTGAACAACACAACAGCACTGGTAAATTTTTAAGCTATGCTAGGAATGCTTCTCATTTTTATGTATTTGTTATTGCTACCGCCCCCGTTTTCATAAATTATGTATACGCATTTTCACTAGAGAAACGAACCGAAAAACACATGTTAACGTTATTTTAGGTTGCCAACTTGTCTACACAGAAAGCAACAAGTTCACCAACCTGCCTCAAAAATCAAAAATTTTAGATTTTTCTCCAACCTGACGAATAACTTGACGAAGGTTTGCCAACTTGCCTACACACGGCTTATTTACCACCAAATTCTAGCGGTTGGCCAACTGGTTGGCCGATAAATCAATGCGTGTTAACTCAACCACACCCCGACACAACACACCGCCACCAACAGCGCCTAGTTTCGCCAACAATTTGCTCTGTGTGTCGGTTCATAATATATCGTTACGTGACATCAGTCAAGTGCAATTCCTGCCTTGTCTGGTGCCACTTTAGGGCATGTTTAGGACTGCGCACCCCCACGAGATTGGACGAGCAACTACGTGGAGCTTTGTTGTACTACATCTGCGAAGCCGCCCACTACCACCACAAGTCAGCACCCCGTTAAGCATCACACACATCGAACGGCCGGCAGGCAACACAACTACCTCACACTCCACATTGCAATCAGTCTCCTAAGGCACACCCTACAATTCAACGGTAACGGACTTCAGGGCAAGAGCGAGGATATAACCGTCTTCATGGGTCGACATGGAATGTTGATAGCTGCGGTCCAAGAGACAAAACTGCACAGCAACTCAACATTATTGAGCTGCGTCGGATAGGCACAATGCGCACAGGTCCAAATAGCGAGCGATATAATGGTGGGCGAAGCAGACATCGACCGCAGGGATGCAATCCTAGAATGTCAGGGTTTTGCTATTCGATCAGGCAATGTCGAGCTCAAAATATATAACGTTTATATGAAGTAGGTGAAAACCCGAATGGTAGTTGGGTGACTTCAATGGGCACCACGATTTTTGGTATTCAAGCCTGTCGAATGATCGTAGAGGAATATACTTGGCTGAGCAGCTAGACGACATTCGACATTCTGCACAATGAACGACAATGCAAAGAAATTCATATCAGATACAGTATGTCAATGTGTTAATCATATGAAAATATTAAAATTTACGTTTTCCAGTGTATTTTAAATATAAAACAAGGGCGAAAATTTCCAATTTTAACACAGTTGTGATCGTTTGAAATGTTTATTTGACGTTGCTAATTTAAAAAGCTGCCAGGTAATTCTGCATTTGGCATAAACATTATCTTTTAGTTGCTAAGTTACGGCGCACAGTGGTCTGCAAGTGGCAGAAAGTACAAGTTTCGAAATGTCTCGAAATACCCAACTAAGTGGTTGGCTAGACTAATGACATGCCTATTAACAATATTTATGGAGTTCGCGAAAAACAAAATGGCACCAGTATTATTGAAAGAACACTTGATGTCGGCGTTGTATGATTCGCATTTTTAAGTAGAAATTCGAACTGGCATTTCACAGACTCCAACACTGGTAATTGAATGATCGGACTTTATTGGTTTTTTTTTTGCTCCATAAAGGGATTTCACCATTTTTCCTAGTCATTTCAGTGTTGACATTTTTATGATTTATAGCACTTTCAACTACTTCATAGATAGTGTAACTGCTTATCATTGGTAACGTTTACCATTTTCGTACCCTAGGTAGGTGGGTGCGGCAGTTTGCCAATCTATGTGATTTTTTCAGATTTATTCATTTCTAAGAAAAAATACTACAGTAAAATCGAAATACAATTGAAAATTTTCGCCATATTTTATATGGGGCTCTACCACTGTGCGGCGCAGATGGGCAAGTTTACATACAAAAAATTATCAGCTGCCAGCGGTAAATTAAATGATTCTGGTAAGCAGTTAAAACAATGTAGCAACAACAAAACAATGACAAAAATAAACAACGTATGCATTGCAGGGCAAATAAAAATTAAACTTGCACGCGTTTTGATAATGATGATTTAATTCCCTCATTGGATTTCAATCATACGAGGCATGCATATGCAAATATGTACATACT